CAGGCTGCCCAGCGGGTCCTATTGCTGCTGCGTCGGCGGGGACTGCAGCACCAGCCTCCGGGCAGACGACAGCAGGTGCGTGGCCGTCGAGAAGTCGTTCAGCTCCGTGTCCAGGCTGCCCAGCAGGTCATGTTGCTGCTGCGCCGGCAGGGACTGCAGCACCAGCCTCCGAGCAGACGACAGTTGGTGTGTGGCCACGAACAGGTCGTGGAGCCGTTGCTGCGAGGAGGTGGAGCCACCACCGCCGCCGCCGTCGTGGAGCGGGAGCAGGAGCAGCGCCTGCTCGGCGCCGCACACGGTCTCCTGCGACACCGGGTCGCGGTAGCTGCACTGGACAGACAACGAGTGCGGGTGGCTGTGTTGCGCGCCCAACGGCACCCGCAGCTCCACCAGCAGCCCGCTCCTCCTTCGCGTACATCTCGCTGAGCCGCACGCTCAGGAGGACCCGTCGTTGCCGCCGACGCCGCCCACGAGGGCTACGGCCTGCTGCCCGGGCCCACAAGAGTACACCGTCATGATCTCCCCCATCGAGAAGGTGAGCTCCAAGTGCACCTCCTGCATCACCATGCTCACGAGGTCACTCAGGCATTTCGTGAAGGCGTGCTCCGCGGCGCGCTGGACTCTAGGTGCTCCTCCTTGGGCGTGAGCAGGGACCGCGCTGGCGCGTCGTCGGTCGGTCCGGTGATGGGGATCTCGACGTGGGTGAACCGCGTGGCCGCCGTAGGAGCTGCCTGTGGGCAGCGTCGAACAGGACGAGCGGGGTGGCAGTGGTCTGGCAGGCCATCTTCCCGAGCCAGATCTTGATGTAGCAGGAAGAGGTCGAGGGGTGGACGCCGGCCCCGGCATCGGCGAGCGGAGGAGGTGAGGCGAGGGTGTGCCTTTGGCTGGGCTGGGAGACCCGGGAGATAAGGTGCTCGGAGGATAGAGAGAATGGCGGAAGATTAAGGAGGTGATTATGTGCAAACACGTATAGCCAGAGCCACCCACGATGCTCTTCTCAGACATGGCTCGCTGGAAACTGTCGGTTCAGCACTTTTCAGCAAGTCAGACCAGAGGTGCTTTAAGACCCGTGACATGCAGGCCCAACAGTATTTGCATGTAATCAAACAGCTCAACATAAAAAATATGTTGCATACAGCAGGTCTGGTTGCGATTTTGTAGGCAGCTAAACACACCCTAAGTAACTTGCAAACAAGCTGAGGTGGACATATTTGGTTGGGAGGGGGGAAAGGGGAAAATATTTAGTGCTACCAAGACTCGGGTGCTACTATAATATGGTCTTCTGAATTGTCGTATTCTTAGATTGGACGACTCCCAACAACTCTGCAACATTTGTCAAAAAAAGTCTCCTAGAAGCTAAAAAATTGCACATAGGTTCAGCAGATCGAACAGCTTCTAGATGTTGTCCGATCTGAGAATCCGACGGCCAAGGAGCCCGTATCATGGTAGCACTTGAGCCACGGTAGCACCAGATACTCTCCCAGGGAAAAAGGCCCAGGCCATCCCATGAAATTTAGAGGGGGTGATTTAGTTGAGGGGAGGAAAGAAAATAACTTTTCGTAATAACTTACATAGGTGTAGTATTTTCGAATTTTAACATGGCCCCTCTTACCTCCTCTTTTACATAAGAGGCACTTGCTGCTTACGTACATTGTATTTTCCTAAAAATTTATTTAAATCCAAGAGATTCGGGAGATGGGTGTACTGTAGAGCTCATCAACTTGTGCCACTTGGTCGTCACTTTTGTGCCCTTGAACAATTTACAACGTCTGATCGGCCTTCTCGTTTATTATTTACATGCATCAGGTAATCAAAACACTTCCACTGCATATGTTGTTGCATTTGGTCAATTTGTTTGCGGGTAGAATCTGTGTCCTACTACTGCAGGGTAGATGAAGGCCTCAAAACTATTGTCAATAGTTCGTTCTCGATAATCCTACATTTATAAAAAGCTATGAATCCCTTTACATATACTTCCCAAAAACTTCTCTGCATCCTCCCCCCTCCCCGGAATTTCAGGTGGATGAGGCCCCTTTCTTCCCTTCTCCAATCATAATTATCCATGTTGCTTATTACATAAACCACGTAACTTCCTCTACGTAGATGTAGCATTGCTCATTCGTCCATGCTTTTAGACTATGAATCACCCAAACAAGTGCAAGTGAAGGAGCTCACGCAAGGAGAAGTGTTGAGTATATATGTTGTGCATATCTATATATTGGGCCCACCTCCTAGTTTTTTGTATAGTTGAGGTCGTGACCCACCTCTGATACATCATATATACGTACCTTTGCACATGAGCAATACATGGTGCAATTCCCACAACATACATGGTATCCGTTTTTTAGGTTTTTTCCTCGCTTCCGCTTCGCCGCCGCCGCCGCCCGCGCCTCCCTTCGCGCGCGCCGCCGCCGCTCGCGCCCCTCCCCTCGCGCCAGCCGCCGCCGCCCAACCCGCAACACAACCGCCCGAGCCAGTGCTCCATCGGCCGACCCAAGCCGCCG